ATCTGGGGACAGGAGAGAGCGCTCAGCACAGACCTGAGCCCTGCGCGTGCGAGGGAGGGAGTTAGGCCCAGCTCCCTGAGGGGCTGAGCGGGAGGGGCGGGTGGGGGGCATGTTGCCTGTGGCCCCCAGGAGAGTACTCGCTCAAGAACGGGAACTGCAGCCAGCTCTGTGCCCAGGCCCTGGAGACTCCCCAGGGAGCTGCCGCACCCCCTCTGATACACCAGGCAGGTCACTGGCCTGCAGACGAGCGAGTGGAACCCCCCACGCCCACCTGGAAGCTCCACAACCCAGGCACCCGGGCTGCAGGGCGGGGCATGGGTGGCCACCGCTGTGTGACCGAGGGCCATCCCTCAGCCTCTCTGTGCCTCAGCCCGTCACCCACAGTCCTGGCCAGTCAGCTTCTGTGCCTCTCACAGAAGCCCCACACACTCTGTGCCCACTTCACAGGAGGAAGAGAGGCCCCTGGCGCTTAGTGTAACGAGGGGAGTGGCCCGGAACCCTGCTTAGACTTTTCTTTTGACTGGGGAGTGATATCCAGCCACACCAAGTGGGAGCGCCATGCACCCCCAGCCCGACCCCCTCTCACGCCCAGGAGACGCACTGGCTCTCCTGCAGGTCCCTGGTCCTGGCCCCCACTCTGTGCCCTCCTGCTCCCCTCCCCCCCCGCCCCTCAGTGTTGTGGTCTACACAGTGACCTCTGGCACAGGCTCGTGCCAAACCTTCCTCTGCGAGGCTGACTGAGGCTGTGGTCCTTGGCCAGCACCGGGTGACCCCTGTCCCATGTGCTGCCCATGTCCCCACAGGACGGGGAGTAGGAACACTGCAGGGGCAGAGGGAGGGTCAGCAAGGTGCCAGGATGGCCACCCCATGAGGGGGCTGGTACACTCGCACTCACAGGAGCAAGACTGCCCAGCACCCAGTGTGGGTCTAAGACTTTGTTCAAGTCAACTCACTGATCCCAAAAACCCTGCGGGAGGACCAGCAGGACCCCCTTCTGCAGACGACAACGGTGGCTGGGGGCAGAGTCAGCCCGGGCACAGCTGGTCCTGAGGCTGGGTGGGCCTTCTGGGAGGACCTACCAGCCCACCTGGCACTGCGCTCCGATCAGAGAACCCCGAACACAGCGGGACGCGCACACAGAGGCGCGCACGGTGGACGTGCACACAGACGTGCGCACGGTGGACGCGCACACAGATGTGCACACAGTGGACGTGCACACAGACGCGCGCACAGTGGACGCGCACACAGACGTGCACACGGTGGACGTGCACACAGACGCACACACAGTGGACACACACGGAGGACACACACACAGACGCGTGCACGGTGGACGCGCACACAGATGCGCGGACAGTGGACACATACACAGACGCACACACAGTGGACACACACAGAGGACACACACACAGACGTGCGCACGGTGGACGCGCACACAGATGCGCGGACAGTGGACACGCACACAGACGCACACACAGAGGACACACACACAGACGCGCGGACGGTGGACATGCACAGACGCACGGAGGAGCATGGATGGGCCAACAGGCGGTGCGGCCAGAGCTCTCCTGGCCTCTCGGTCCCTCTGTCAGGCTCACCGGGCTCCAGGCTCAGAGCTACAGGGCTGCTGGGGGCACAGATGAGGGGCAATCACCACCCAGGGCAGGGGAGGGCCCGGCGGAGGGCGCTGGGGTCGAACCACAGGCAAGCCGGCCAGGGGAAGGCAGAGGGCAGGACGGGGGCGGGGGCCACAAGGACCTCTGGGGCATGTCCAGGACTCGGGACTTTCCCTGACAGCTGGAGGGAACCTCCCAGAACAAACGGGTCCTAAGGAGCATCCCGGCACACAGACGGGAACGGGAGGCCGGGGGCCAGCAGCTGGCGCGGCTGCTGCTTCCGGGGAAGGGCCACGGCTAAGGGCATCGATTCCAGAACGGAGCCACCTGGGTTAGAGTCCAGCTCAGACACTCGCTGTTGGTCTGGGGCGTGGGAGTTGCCAGGCCTTCAGTTTTGCTCCAGCACCTCGTCCGGAAACTGCAGACCTGGTACCCGGGACAGCTGAGGCCTGAGAGCCGCTGGGGGCTGGGGTGGCGGCAACGGTGGGCATCCGGATCCCAGACCAGTGTCCCAAAAGACACAGGTGCCTCAGAACACGCACGTGCCCCTCCGAGGCCTGATGCCAAACTAGTACACGTGGATGACACGTGAACGACGCCACCTTGAATTTGGGGGTTAAAGCAGCATTAAGATGGTGTCCCTCCTTTCAGGTTTTAACGTGGCTCCTGGTACGTCACTGGTCTGCGTGGCTCCCGGCCCAGCCCCTTCCTGGAACAGGGTCTCCGCTGAGCCTGGCCCCGGACCCTGCAGGGCTCAGGGACTTTCTCAGGCTCCTGCCCCACCGGGGACAGACTTCTTGCCAATCGCCCAGGCCAGGATGGTGCTGGGTTCGGGATGCTCCCTTCCTTGGGACGCCTGGCTGGTGACCTGCTGGTGTCTCTGGGTCTAGGAAGGAGGCCCAGCAGCCGCCCGCCTGCCTCTCCTCACACGCTGAGCACAGTCCTGTTCTGCTGGACCAGCCCGCTGCCCAGGGTGGTCTGCTCTGCCCGGGCGCGTGCTCAGTGCACGCTCAGCCAGGCCGTCCAGGGGCTCACCTGCCCCAGGTGTTTACCCGGGGAAGGGCGGGACCCGTCAGGAAGCCGGGGGCCCACGGACCACCTCCATGCTCAGACAGGCAGACAGTCTCCTCCCAGGACTCTCCCAGCCTGGAGTGGGAGTTCCCAGCACCCCGGATGTGCCCCGCAGACCCACTCTGAGGACTGGGAGCCTGTGGGCCTGTCAAGGGTCACCCACACTGTGCCCCCCATGAACCCCAAAGGGTCTCCTCAGTGAGCACCTGGGCAGCACACACCATCTGTGTTGCCTTCCAGGGCCCACCACAGACAGCCCTCTTCCACCCAACCACCACCACCTTCCTTGTTCCTCAAGGGCTGAGCAGGGACCAGGCCCCGCCCGGGGGCTCTCGTCTCCCCTCCCCAAGGCCAGTCCGCAGAGGAGGTGGAGGCAGGGGCCTGTGCAGGGCCAGGAGCGGACGCCAGCCAAGCACAGCGCCCAGGCTCGTCTCCATCCAAGGGTCTCTGGGGCAGCAGGGGCCTCCCCCAGACCGCCAAGACACCCTCAGGCTCTCTCACTCCATCCTCTGCGCACGAGTGGGCCACACCCCGCATCCCTGGTTTGGGGCCAGATGAGCTGCCAGAGTCCAAACCTCCACCAGGGCCGCAGGTCCTTGGCCCACAAGATGGCTCATTAGACTTGCCGTCCGACACCCCTAGTGGCCAAACCACAGAAACCCGCTTCCAGGCCACCCAGGACCTGCCTTTCCTGCGGCAGCATGAGCAGGGCCGGACATGGTGCCTGCAGTCCAGCCCCCAAGGCAAGCAGCACCCCCAGATGGCACTCACCCCAGGCCTTCCCCTCCCGCTGTTCAAAGTGCCCAGGTCCCCGCACTCTGTACCTGGAGCAGCTGCGGCCAGGGGAGCGGGGTCCCTTAGGGCTCCGCACGCCCCCTGGGATCTGATGGAACCCAAGCCCCTTCCTCAGCCCACGATCACAGGAACACTGGAGGCCCAGCCCCCCCACGGCTCACAGCAGGGGGCGCAGCCCTGGCTGAGGGGTCCCCAGGCTCTGCCCCCCCCAAGCAGCACCCACATGCCTTGGCCAGCGCCCCCGGGGCAAAGCTGAGACAGGCAGGGACTGCACCGGCCACACCACCCTGACCCCCCTTGGGACGCCCAGGCGTGGGCGGCGCCGGTGCTCACCTGCCCACAGGCCGGGGCTCAGGGCAGGACACACGGCCCGAACCCCCTCCAGCCCAGGGACTGAGGGACAGGACAGGAGGCCAGTTCCCAGGGCAATCGTGTCGAGTGGAGACCCCAAGCCTGCCTGAGCGGCCGCTCCCGCCGCACCCCACTGCTGTTGGAGGGAACCAATCAGGCGCACAGAGATCACTGGTGCACATCACTTCGCGCACGACACACTCGTCTGTTAAATCACAAACACTGATGCTGCTGTAAAAATAACGGCACGGCACTTTTATTTCCTTTAATCAGAAAAATAAGCCCCGTGTTTCTGGGAGCTCCTGGGTGAGGACCAGGCCACCCGGCTGCAGGGCAGACCCCAACCCCGGCTGGTTAGGACCCCCCAGAGCCAGTGGGGACCAGGGTCCTCATGAACAAGCGGGAGGGGACGGCCTGGAGATGGGCACTGGAGGCGGGCAGCACTGCAACACTGGGTGCACCAACTGCTCAGCTGGAGCCCCGCCAGGGCACCCCAGGCGGTAATGCTACTCCCAGAACTGGCTGCAGCCCCCCCCCCCAGGGCCCCTGGAGCCTGCCCTGTACAGGGGTCTGGGGGGGCAGAGCAGCTCTGCAGCGTGAGGTCTGTCCCCACAGGGTGTCGTGGGCTGGGGGCAACACGGAAAGCTGCAGAGGTTGAGGGCATTCCCCCAGCGGCCTCAGCCCTGCGGACTCTCAGTGCAGAGCTGGGGGCCTGACCCGCTTCCGTGATTGGCTACAGGGCAGAGGCGAGGCCTGGAGACCTCCTGCCACCAGCAGCTTCCACTCGACCACAGATGGCCCTGAGCGCCCCTCGCCCCTCCCCACAGCCACGGGCCCTGGGGTGGAGGGATGGGGAGTGGATCCGAGGCTGGCTCTGGCTGTGCCCACGCTCTGCCTGGGGGCGAGGGATGCTCACTGGCCAGGAGAGGGCCCGAGGAGGCGGGCCTGCAGCCCACACCCAGCCCACACCAGCTCGCACACCACGCACGCCCGCTCACACACCTGGGGGCCTGCACGGAGACCCCAATACAAGGACACCTGGCACTTTAGAGGCACAAAGAAACTGGGACCCCGGCAGCCCCTCGCCCAGGGGCGTGTGCGTCACAAAGCAGCGGCCCAGAGTGGAGCAGGGGTGGGGGAGGCAGGAGACGGTCCTCTCCTTTTCCTGCTGCAGGCAGACCTGGGCTGGTGGGGCCCTGCCCAGGCTCCCACCTCCGCCGAGCCGGGCCCAGCTGCACAGCCCGGCCTTCTGGGGAAGACCTCCAGCCCGTCTGGCGAGGCAGCCGGCCCTGCCCGGGCAGCCACAGGAGGGTGGTCTGAGAAGCGGGCATCAGGCTCCGGGGCTCACATACGGGGCCTGGCGGGCCACAGAGGGTGTGGAGGATCGAGTCCGTCGAGGCCTCAGGGGCCAGCAGGGACGGCGCAGGGCCAGGAGTGAGAACTGGGGCTGACGGCCCTGACCCAGGTCCAGCAGGGACCGCCGAGGCCTGCTCAGAGGGCCCAGGAGTGGCCGGCGGGGTGGGGCGGGCTCTCCCAGGAGCGAAGGGCGCTTGGGGATGGGGAGCAGTGGCTGGGGCTTGCAGGGGTTCGGGCCCAGAAGCGACTTTGGGGGCTGGCAGGACTGTTTGGGGCACAGGAGGGGCCGCTTTCGTCGACAGTTCTGTTCTGGGCCCAGGAGTGGCCGTTTGGGTGGGTGAGACTGTTCCGGGCCCAGGAGTGGCTGCTTCTGCTGGCTGGACTGTCTGGGGCCCAGCAGTGAAGGCTGGTTGGGGGCGTGCTTTTCTGGGGCTTCAACTAATTGCTGGGACTGACGGAGGCCCAGCAGGGACCGCCGGGGGTGACTGGGCTGACCCAGGAGGGACCTTCGGGGCTGGCTCAGGGCGAGGAGCGCCCGCCGGGGGCGGCAGCACTGGCCTGAGATGGCGCTGCTGGGCCGGTGGTGCGGGCACAGCACGAGGGGCGACTGGGGGGGCTGGCAGCGTGGGCAGTGGGCCAGCAGGGACTGGAGGGGCCCGCACGGCTGTCCTGAGGCTGCCCGGCTGGGCTGGCTGCGCAGACCCGGGGCTGCCCATGACCACACGGGCCAGCAGCGGTGCCAGAGGGCCAGCAGGGAGTGCAGGGGGCACGAGAGGGGGCAGGGCGCCGGGAGGGGGCACAGGGGGTGGCGGAGGTGGCAGGGCGCCGGGAGGGAGCACAGGGGACGGCAGCGCTGCCTGGGACCTGGGGGTGACCACTGCGGCCTGGAGGGCTGAGCCAGGAGTGACCGCCGGGGCCGACTGCGCTGACCTGGGGCTGGAAGCAGCCGCTGGGGCTGGCAGGGCTGACCTGGGCCCAGAAGTGACCGCCGGGGCCGGCAGGGCTGACCTGAGCCCAGAAGTGACCGCTGGGGCCAGCTGCGCTGACCCGGGAGTGGCTGCTGGGGCTGGCAGGGCTGCCCGGGGTCCGGGAGAGCCCGGCTGGGCTGGCAGCGCTGACACGGGGCTGGGAGTGACCCCGGGGGCTGGCTGGGCTGGAGCTGCTGCGGGCGCTGGGCCGGGCCGGTCTGGTCCCAGGGGTTGGCTGGGAGCGGCCCCCCTTCGGGGGAGCACACCTGCATGGAAGAAAGAGCACGTGTCCACCTGGGCCAGTGTGCCTGCAGACCCCCCGTCCAGCCCGGCCCAGGCATGCTGCCCCGCACCAGCAGCCCGCCCCGGGGAGCTGGAAGTGAAGTGTGGGGCACCGAGAAGCCCTCCCTGAAAGGGGGAGCAGACCAGCGAGCCCCAAAGAGGAGAGCAGCAGTGCGGCCACACCTGGGACAGAGCCCTGTGCTCCACTCCGGGGAGCCCTGTCTGGCTCCCGCCCGCCCTCGCTGGGCCCTGGTAACAGCAAGGACGCCCATCCCCCAAGGGCCCTTCTGGCAGCTGGCAGCCCCTGGGCTGGTGGGGCTGATCCTGGCCCCGAGACCACCAAGCACAAGTGCCCCCAGACACACTGCACTTCACGAAAGTGTAGTGGATGGAGAACACCCAGCAATGCGCCTGCGCGGTACAGAGGTTGGCGGAGCCTGACGGACGCGATGGGGAGACGGGGCCAGCCTATCAGCGGTGCACCCCCGGGCCCTACTGAGCACATCCCCCCACCCGCTTTGGCCTTGCTCTGGCTGTAACACCCCCCAGCTGGTCTTCTGCCTCTGCCCAGCATCCAGGCTCCCAGTGGGTGCTGCCCAGCCCCCGTCCACATGTGCCCCATACCCCAGGCCCGACAACGACAGACACGTTGCCAGGCAGGCACAGGTGCCGATGGTGGTGCCCAGCTGCTGGTGTGCCCCCAGGCGCCCGGGGGAGGGGCACCGAGCCCGAGGTCCTGAGGGGTGGGCCCAGCTCACCTGCTTGGCGGGCTGCAGGGGGACCTTCTTCCCTCGGTCGCAGGCGGGCTCCAGGCCCTGCTCCGGGCTGCCCGCTTCCAGGGGCCGGCCGTTCTCACTGGGCTCTGCAGACGGGCAGCTTTCTGACTCTCGCGGTTTCTTGACAAGGCGACGCTCCCATTTCTCCTTCCGCTCGTGTGGTTTCAGGGCCATGTCCTTCTGTGAGGGGAGGTGGGACAAAGCCGGTTAATTGGCACTGCCCCCCAGGACCCCTGCCAGCCCTAGGAGCTGCCTGCTCTCACCATCCCCGAAGGGGACACAGGCTGGCAGTGAGGAGGCCCTGGAGGGGTGCCCAGGCAGGGCCTCAGATAGAGCAGAGCCCAGGGTCACATCTACCCAGAGGTCTACCTCTGCGGCCCACCTGGGTCATGCACACCGACGGGCACACCTGACCGACAGGCAGATGCCACTACACACACCCCAGCACCCATGCCCGAATGCAGAGCGACCCTACGTGATGGGAGCACTGGGCACAGCAGGCTTGACTCCTGGTGGCCCAAGGAAACAGCCCGCAGCAAAGCCCCTGCGCCGTAGCCGCTCCGACACCCAGGTGGACGCCTGCAGCTGACACCGACGACCGGATTTCTCTGTAGTCATTTTATGTTTTAGTTCCCTTAAACATCACCACTACAGCGCACCACCAAATGCCTAACTGCAGTCCAATAAGCCAGCCACGGACAGAAGTCACGCATAGTGGCAGACACAGCCTTGACTTCCCCTCCCTGGGGGCTGGCCCCCTGCTGCCTGTGGCTATAGGGCTCTTCCAGGCCCCAGACCCTGCAGGCAGAGGCATGGCCACACCCCTCTGGCCAGGTGGGCCCCCCACACTCCTGGAATCACACTGATCTCTGCCCCAGCACCGGGCCCGCCCCTTCACTTCCTGCCCTTTGTGGGAAGGAGGCCCGTGGAATGAACATGTGGCCCCAGGACAAAGCCAGGCCCCCCCCCCCGGAACCACACCCCCTTGAGGCTCAGTCACTCGAGCTCTCATTTCGGGAGCTCAGTCCAGCCCCCCCTGCCCCACCTAGCAGGCTGGGCGCCCTGCAGCACACCTGCCCCAGGGCCTGGCGAGGTTGCTCCTCGCCCTGCACCCCTGTGGCTCACTCCCCAACCTGCAAGTCTGAGCTCAAATTACCCCCCGGGAGCTGCCCAGGGCAGCCGCCTCAGGAAGGAGCCCCAGGGCCGGAGGGAGCAGGCCCGCCCGCGGGCGTGGGGAGCAGCAGGAGAGGAGGGTCTGGGTCAGGCCTTGCTGGCCTCACTGGCCTCACTGGCCTCTGCCCACGGGACCGGCTCGGCTCAGAGTGAAGCTGTGGGGACAGAGCAGCCAGGATGGCCACACAGTCCCAGGCCAAGGAGCTAGAGCCCAGGCTGGGCAGGTGGGGTCGGACAGGGGGGGCCCTGCCAATCTCTGGGCACCACAGCCGCCACCCTGGCCGCTGAGGCGCAGCGCAGATGCCCGCTCCACGCCCGGCTCTGGTCCTGCTCTGCCACTCGCCAGCCGTGCAGATGGGGAAGTGACGTCCCCCCCGCACCTGCTTCCTGTGTGCACAGGGGGCGGCACAACCCTCGCCACCGGGGCTGCTGGGAGGGCACTGTGTCCGATGCCTCACCGGGCAGACACTCGCTCGCTGCCCTGCCCTGGACCCTGACCACCCCCAGTTCCACCACTTCCAGGTCAGAGGGCAGGCTGGTGTCTCCCACTCCTCCCTGGCAACAGGGCGTGCGACACGGAGAGCCACTCTGCGCCCCCACTGTCGGCACTGAGTTCTGCACCCTGGCCAGTGGGGTCCAGGGGGCAGCACCTGCCGGAACTCTGCTCCGAGGAGGACGCAGAGCCAGGGCCCCGGACACCTCACCAGCCGGGTCTGCGGGGCAGACATGATCGCCAGGCCGGTCTGGACTTCCTGCCAGGGGGTCCCAACCACACACACAGGTGTACCCGCAGCACCACACACCCGCGTACACACGAACTGCGTCTGGGGAGTCCACGCCTGCGGGGCTGCAGGGCACCAGGGTGCTGACCCCCTCCCCACGCACACCTGCACACAGCCTGGGCCAGGCCTGGGAGGTGCGTGAGGACAGAGCTGGCACCTTGCTGATGATTCCCCCAAACTATTTGGAAACCAGGGCACTAGAACCACCTCCCCACAGAAATGGAACCCAATATCACATCTGCCCGAAGTCTCCAGAGCTCTCAATTCCACGAGGGCTGCCGGTTCCGGCCCCCAAGGGACAAAGGGCCCCCATGCCCTTGGTGATGACCTGCATCCCAGCCCAGCTGCCTCTGCCAGCAGCCCCAGTGACCTCCAGGCCTCCCAACCTGCACACCCCACCAAAAGCCACGGTCCTCCCGGACCTCCCGGGGCTGCTGCACCCCTGAGCACCCCTCCTGAGCACCCCCCCGCTCACGCTGTCATGAAGCTCCTTCCGGACACTCAGCCGGCACCTGTCTGCCTGCAGCAAGCCAGCAATGCGCCCACAGAGGCACCGGCTGGCACAGCTGGCAGTGGGGGGGGGCAGGGGCCGCCTGCTGGCCAGCGGTCCCTGCCTGAGGCCCAGCAACACCAGCCGTGAGCATGGAGAGGCCCCATCGAGGGAGAGGCAGCAGGAGCCCACAGGGGCAACAGGCTGGGGGAGGGGCTGCCAAGGCTGAACGAGGGAGGCAGGCTCGCCTCTGCCACCACCAACTCACAGGCAGGCCTCCCAGGTGGCTGCCATCCCAGGGGGTCCCCAGCAGCCGCTCTGAGGACCCTGCTTCCAGCCCGCGGGCCCCTTTGTCACATTCGCCTCCCCACTGTGGATGGAACTGACTCAGGCCTGAGAGGGATGGACACAAGACCGGGGAGCTCTGCCCAGGGTGTGGAGGGGCTGATGGCCCCCTGCCACCCCGACGGCCCCGGGGCACACGCAGAGTGGCACAGCCAGCAGACACGGGACAACCGCAGAGCAACTGCCCTCAGGAACCAGTGCCCATCTCGGCTGCAGCACCGGCCGGACGGAAGCGAGGCTGCCCAGGGCTGGCAGGGCCGGCTCCAGACCTGCTGGCGATGCTGCCCGACCCTTCCTGGGCAGGACAGGACCATGTGGAAAGGGGGACCCACACGGGACACAGGACAGGAAAGGAGGTGGGCAGGGACGACAGGGCCGATCCTGGCAGACCCCTGGGTGCCGGGGGGAACTGCCAACACCCATCAGGGACCCGCACACTGCCCAGGTGCGGACGAGCTGGGGCGCCAACCAGGGGAACACAGGTGGGGCTGGGTGGGGGGCGGGCCTGGCACCACCTCTCAGAAGGGCAACCACCTTCCCACTTATCAAAACCCCCAAAACGGGGCACACAGCACGTGGACGCCCCAGGTGCAGGAATTTCTCAGAGAATAAGCACAACCACCACAGGTTCTGGGAGGGAGAGACACCTTTGAGCAAACTGACACCTGAGTCTTCACGGGGACAAAGACAGAGGGTCTGACCGAGGGGATGGGAGAGAGTCTGACCCAGCTTGTGGGAGACGAGAGTAAGTGAGTAAGTCACCCCAACACTTGGGGAAAGAACCTTCCTAGTGAAGGTCAGAGCGGATGGCAGGGGCTGGCAGTGTGCCCACACGTGTGTCCAAGAATCTCTGAGAGACAGGTGTGGCTGGAGCTGCAGGTGGGACAGGAGGGCGGCACAGGGGACAGAGAGGGTCACAGTGAGAGCACGGCTACTAACGGGCACTCGGAGCAGGAGGGGCCGGGCCAAGGCCAGCTCCATGAGCACTGGAGCACTTGCTGGCTCAGGGACGGGAGGGCAGGAGTGACCACCCTGTCCTGCGGCAGCTGGCCCAGGACATGACCAGAGGAAGTGAGGCCTTTCTGGGAGCTCCAGGGAGGGGCTCTGCCGAGTGTGGACAGACGTCGGCCAAGGTGGGGCCATGGGGTATGCAAGGCTGGATGGGTCAGGGCCAGGTGTATAGAAGGGGACACGGTGGAAGACAGAAACTGGGGGGAGGGGCGCTGGGAACCACAAAGGTCCCAACAGGGTTTACACACGAACCCAGGCAGGGCCCTGTCACACGTATGTACACATGCACACACATGCACACGCTGTTGACTGGCAACCCCACCGGGAAACAGAGCAGCAGCAGAGGGAAGGTGGACTGCACCTGCCACGGGGAAACCCCACTCGGCACAATGCGGCCGGGACCCTGCAGACCGGCGGGTGCCCACAGTGCCAGGGCAGCAGCCAAATAGCACGGGCACCCGCTACTGTGCTGCAACAGTGCGAGACCCCAGGGCGTCCGGAGACGCAGCCCATGTTCTGGGGAAGATTCCACGGTTCTGAGGACCAGGCTGCAAAGGGTGGACAGATGAGACTCCACCACCCTGGGCCTCAGCTTCCTTGTCCACCAGTGGGTGCGCCAGCGCAGAGCCTCAGGACAGTACCCTTGCAGTGCACTGTCACACTGCTCCAGGGATGCTGGTCTCCCCAGAGCAGGGCGCTGACCACAAAACAGGAGGCGGTGGCAGTGCAGGGACCTCCCCAGGCCAGGCTCCCACCCCACAGTTAGCAAAACTGCCCCAGAGCCCTGGCCGGTTTGGCTCAGTGGTTAGAGCGTCAGCCTGCGGTCCAGAGAGACCCGGGTTTGGTTCCTGCTGAGGGCATGTACCTCGGTTGCAGTTTGTCCCCGGCCCTGGTTGGGTTGTGCGGGTGGCAGCCACTCGATGTGTCCCTTTCATGTCGATGTTTCTCTCTCTCTCTCTTCCTCTCTCTCCCTCCCACTCTATCTGAACAAAAAATGGAAAAAAAAACTTCCCCAGAGCTACAGACACCCTCATGGGCAGGAGGAGCGCCCCACAGCTCAGGGACATGAGGGGGCAGCCCCACAGCTCAGGGACATGAGGGAGCAGCCCCACAGCTCAGGGGCATGGGGAGCAGCCTGACACTGTGGGCCCTCGGGGGCATGGGGGAGCAGCCCCACAGCTCAGGGACATGGGGAGCAGCCCGACACTGTGGGCCCTCGGGGGTATGGGGGAGCAGCCCGACGCTGTGGGCCCTCAGGGGTATGGGGGGAGCAGCCCGACGCAGTGGGCCCTCAGGGGTACGGGGGGAGCAGCCCGACGCTGTGGGCCCTCAGGGGTATGGGGGGAGCAGCCCGACGTTGTGGGCCCTCAGGGGTATGGGGGAGCAGCCTCACTTCTGTGGGCCCTTGGGGACGTGGGGGAGCAGCCTAACTCTGTCCTATGTGAGTCCCAGGCTGGGTGCTGCACCCTGTCCCATGACTGCCAAGTGCTTGCCCTCTCTGGGCCTCAGTTTCCCCATCTGAAGAGCAGGAAGCAGCCTGGAGGAGACATCTGGTGCAGACTCCCCACTACCAGCTCCTCACTGAGCCCAGCCACCCCCATGGCTCAGCCCTGTGCCCGTTGGAGGAGGGGCTGGGTGCACGGAGCAGATCAGGGCCCTCACAGGGGGGACTGATGGCGTGGGCTTCCACACACTGGCCGGCAAGGCCGAATCCCAGCCCTGTGTCCCCAGGGCCTCAAATACACCCTGGGTCAGGCCACACCTGGGGGCCTCCTTCGGACAACACACCGCCACACTGAGGGCTGCCTGCTGGGCCTGCAGCACTAAGCAGAAGGGGCTGTGACCCTCCCAGCCTCCCACAGCGCATACAGGTGTATCCCTCAGGGGCAGACACAGGTGCGTGCAGGTGCCGGGACAGGTCCCTGTCTTGGGCGTGGTAGTAGGGGGGGTCTGTCTGTCCAGGACCTGGAGATGGAGGGATAGGGGGTCTGCCTGGGGCAGAGGAAAGAGGGACAGGGAATGTGTTTGGGCTGCAGGGGTGTGAGGCCCACATCCTCAGGACAAAGGTAAGGAGGACTCTCGGGAAACTGACACTCTGTGCAGGTCCCACCTTCCGAGCGGGCTACACCTGACGTTTGGTATGGCCCACGTGGGCAGAGCCCTGAGCCGGGGCAGGCCGGGGCTTGGCTCATGGCCTCGGGCCTCAGTATACCTACCTGGCAGGGGAACACGCAGGCACAGAAGAGCACCTGCTAGAGGACGCATTCACGGCACGCTAGTCATCACTGTAACCGTCTGGGGAAAATCCCTATACTCTAGCAAGAAATGAGGCCAAATCAGAGTGCCAATCTGGAAGCTATGACTTGCATGGAAGCCCCGTACTTTCCAAGGCAAGTGGACCTTCGCTGGCTGAGAGGGGCAAGAAAGGCGCACGGAGCAGCCAGAGTGACAGAGCGCCAAGCAGGGGGCTCATCTCACCGTGACCCGGCCGGGGCTGCTCGGAGCCCAAGACGTTCTCCACACCCAAGGGTGTACTTCCAGTGCCCCGGATACAGGAGGGGTATGTCGGAGCCTCCACAGGCAGCCCATGGACCCCACAGGCTCGTGTCACCAGGGCGGCCTTCCGAAACCTTGGTTTCTCCTCCCACTCATCCACTCCACAAATGTGCGAGGGGCACTGGGACCCCACGGGACACACAGGACAGTGTGCTGCCTGTTCACTTCTAGTTCACAGATTCTGGTGGGGACGGCCACAACACAGAGCGAGCAGGGCAGAGCCAGCTTCTGAGAGGTGACTGACGGAAGAAGAGTATGTGAAATAACAGGGGGTGCGCAGCGGGGGGTGGGGGCCAAAGACGCCTGCGGCTTTGGATGGTCGCCAGGAGGCCTTGAGTGACACTTGTGCAGAGACCTGAAGGTGCTGAACTCGGACACGGGCAGAGGGAACAGCAGGTATGGAGACCGAGGCAAAGCCGAAAGGGTGTGACATGCTGATGGGGGACCATGTCAGGTGGGAGAGGCCTGCAGGAAGGAGAGTGGTGCAACCCCTCAGAGGCTGCAGGGGAGGCCCTGGCTTGTATGAAGACAGAAAACCCAGCCCTGGGGCCACCTCTTCCCAGTAGAGCCAGGCATTGCCACCACAGCACATGAAGGCACCTTAGCTAGGGACCCCTTGGCCCGGGAGCCATCTCAGAGCCCGCAGATGTGCAAGACAGGGCTCCCGGGCTGTGGTCAAGCACGAACTCCGACAGCGTGCCCCAGCTCTGCATGTCCCCCGTCCAGACTGAAAGCAGCAGACCTGTCCCTGAGCCACCTCTGCCTGGCTGCCAGCACCTGACCCTGAGCTGTCCAGACCTGGCAGACCCCAGGGAGAGGGCTAACTGCAGGGACCTGCAGTGTGGGCACCCTCCCCTACTGGGGGATCCGAGGCCACTGACCTCAGGCCCCAGGTAAAGGAAAGAAGCTGTTAACTGAATGACCCTCAGGACCCCAAAGTGAGCAGATGCTGGTTCCTCAAAATAAGTGCTGAGCGAGGCTCCTGAGGGTGGAGGCGCTGGCTGGTGGAGGCTCCCAGACAGGCCAGAATTTCTACCCAGACCAGCTCCGGAGACGGCAGCTCACACACCCCACCTGCCAACTCCCTGACAGGGCTCACTTCCTCTCCTCTCACCTGGACTCAGGCAAGCAGGGCAGTATTTGCTCAGCAAATATTGTCCACGATAAATCTGCCAGGCAAGCACTATTTGCTGTCATCCCATTAACCACGCAGCCTGCAGCGCGCACCGAGCAGGGCTCAGGTAGGACCGTCCCGCTCTCCCTCCAACAGAAACCTCAGGGGAAGGGGAGGAACAGGAAGAGCCTCCATGTATCCATTTTATCACCAACGGCGCCGAGCCCGGCGGGGGACACCTCCCTGGCACATCCTGAGCCAATAAAGTGATACTTTAGAAACAGGAACAGCACTGGAACAGGCCGACTGTGCACCCGACGGCCCGCCTCTGGACAGTGTCACTTAGATGTTCCTCCCCCGCGGCTCCGCGCGCGAACACCCCCTGCGCCCACTGCAGGCTGCCGGGTCCTCCAGGGCGACCGACGGCGCGCGGGGAGCCCTCGGGGGGCGTGCCGGCGCCCCCGGCGCCCCGCCCGGCCGCACCTACCTCCAAGGCCTCCAGCGTGCTGAAGCTGGCGATGGCGAAGCCGTCGATGACCTCCTCCTCCTGAGAGCTGGACTCGCGGCGGCGGCGGCGCGGGGGGCGCGCGGCGGCGGCGCGGGGCGGGGGCGCGCGGGGCAGGCCCGCATTCTCCTTGCCGGGCCCGGGCTCGGGCTCGTCGCCCGACGAGGCGCTCTGGTCGCGGGCGTCGCGGGCCGCCTCCCGGCGCCGGCCCCGGTCTCGCTGCGCGCGCGAGCGCCGGCTCTGGCGGACCTTGGCCTCCATGGCGCGCGGTGACCTTGCGGCCGCGCCGTCGGGCTCCCGCTGCCGCTGCGCTACGCGTGGCCGCCGGGCGCGGTGCGGGCCGCGCGGGCTCGGGCCCTGGGCGGCGGCGGGCGGGGGGCCGGGCCGGGCATGCCGCGCGGGGAGCCCTCAGCCCCGGGCCCGGAGCGGCCTGGGCGCCCCGGCGCGGGCGGCCGCGCGCATCGGCGGGGCGACCGGCGCTCAGCGGCTGCAGGCCGCCGTCCCTGGGGCGCGCCCCATGCGCGGCAGGAGGCGGGCGGCGGGCTGGGTGGGCGGTCGGGGCGCGGGTCGGGCTGAGGCGCCCAGGATCGTGAGGCGGCGACGGCAGCGGCGAGGACCAGAGCAGATAACAACTGACGTACTTCCGCCCAGCGGCCAGCGCCAGAGGAAGTGGGGTGTCCAGCCCAGCCCAGCCCGCGCGAGCCCCGCCCCGGACACGCCCCTCGCAGACCCTGCCCAGGCAGCTCTCCGCTCCTCCGGCCCCGCCCCGCCCCGCCCGGCCCCGCCCCCGCGCGCTACGCCAGCTCGCCCCGCCTCCGACCGCCGAGGCCCGACCCCCTCAGGCCCCGCCCCGCCCGCTCTCCGCTCGGCCACGCCCCTGCCCGGCCCTGAGCCCCGCCCCGCTCCCGCGCGCTACGCCTGCTCGCCCCGCCTCCGACCGCCGAGGCCCGACCCCCTCAGGCCCCGCCCCGCCCGCTCTCCGCTCGGCCACGCCCCTGCCGGCCCTGAGCCCCGCCCCGCCCCCGCGCGCTACGTCCGCTCGCCCCGCCTCCGACCGCCGAGGCCCGACCCCCTCAGGCCCCGCCCCGCCCGCTCTCCGCTCGGCCACGCCCCTGCCCGGCCCTGAGCCCCGTCCCGCCCCCGCGCGCTACGCCTGCTCGCCCCGCCTCCGACCGACGAGGCCCGACCCCCTCAGGCCCCGCCCCGCCCGCTCTCCGCTCGGCCACGCCCCTTCCCGGCCCTGAGCCCCGCCCCTGGGAAGGGAGCTGGGCACCGCCCCCCGCCAGTCTGCGAGCCGCGCGGCTCCCGGGGAAGGTGCGGGGGCGGGGACGCGGGCCGCTCCCGGGGGTGCGCGGCGGGGGGGTCTCCGGGCTGCGGTCGCAGCCTCATTCCGGAGGAATCTTTAAGCGAGAGCACGTGAGCAGAAAGTGGGGACTTCTCCAGCCAAACCAGACACGTGGCGAGGGTCACGCTCACGTCACCCTCGAGCTGGCCGTCGGAGCGGGTGTGAAGGATGGGACGTTCCGGTCCCCACGCCTGATGGGGTATGGGCTGGGTCCACGCTCCCTCCTCCTAGGACACGCGCGGGGGCCATGCATGGGACGTTCTGGTCCCCACTCCTGATGCTTGGGTCGTGGGGTCTTACTGGGCACGTTCTATCAGACCCTAGAACCCCCTGCACGTGGGAGGGGGACAGACACCTCGCCTCCCCTGGGGCTGTGAGGGTGGGGTGCGGGTTTCTTGGCTTCAGCCCCCCACCGCGGTCCCGGCTGCCTCTGCCTTCCCCCTGCCCTTCGCAGGGTCTCCCCTCAGGCTGATCGCTCCCTGCGCCCCCTGACTCGGCGCTCCCCGCTCCTGCTTCGGCAGCCCTCGTGTTCAAGTCTGTGGCGCCGAGTCCCCTTTCCAGGGTTCTGGTTCCCAGGTTTTCAAGGTCAGGCAGCCCTCCTGAGCCCCACCCCAAGGTCAGCCAGAGCCCCACCCCAGAATGCTCCCTGTGGGGACCGCCTTGCCCTTCTAGATGGGGGGCCCCCACAGATGAGGTTTGGACTGCAGGGGCTGCTCCCTCAGTCCTGAACCCCCCAGCTCCCCACTCACCCTCTCGGGGCCCTGCCTCCTCCTCCCATCCTTGAGAACCCATCCTCCCCGGTTCTGGGAAAAGGGATCTCACCCTGTGGCCACTGCCCACCACCACCGGCCTTGGAAGTATTGGCCCACCACCCTATGGCCTGAAGCCCAGACCTCATGTGGTCCCACCCCCAGAGCCAGGCCATCACCTGGTCACTACCTGCAGCCCAGGCCCTTACCTGGTTGAGGCACACAGAGCTCTGAGAGGCACTGTGATAATTAGTTCTTCCAGGGTGGGCTGTCAGGCCCCCTCCTCTGCTGCTTGGCTCCTCTGTATGCTCTGAGCAAAGTTAATTGACATGAAATTGTATTCAGAATTCAATTTGTCCTCACAGACCAGATTCAGCCCTGTAAATCTGCAGAGCCAGCTGCTCCTTGGGGGTTCCGAGATACTCTTTACTTTGTAATCAGGCTAACAGGCCAGCCCCTGGTACCATATCTGGGGGCCAGCTGTTTGTTCCACCATGACGAGAGACTGGCCGGTTCCCACCTTCCCAGTATCTAGGTAATAGCCCCTCGGCGTATCCTGGATTCTTAGCCCTCATCCGTGGATGTTCCATGGAGACGCCCTCCCTCCCCTGGCCAAGGAACAGGCAGGTAAACTGACTCCAGCAATAATGCTGCATAACAAGCAGCCCCCGGAATCCCTGTGGCAGCACCAAGTTTTCTTCTTGGTCATGGGCTGCGGGTCAACTGCGGGGCTTTGCTTCGTACTCTGGGTCTGGTTCAGATCTGTTCCAAGGGTCTTTTGGGGACCAGGCTGTAAGAAATGAGCCACCTGGGCCATGCTCTTTCCGAACTCGGGGGCACGCCAACCCCACAGGCACATGGCAGGCCCCTGCCTCAGGCCCTCCACTGTCTGCTCACGTCTTGCCCAAAGCAAGTCATGGCCAAGACCTGTGTCCGCGCCTCTCACTCCAGTGGGGGTGGCAAAATCATGTGGCAGGTGTATGTGTGTGTGTGTGGTCCTGCTACAAAGAGGAAGTAAGGACTCAAGACTATTTCCACTTGTAACAGCAGGTGGCCCAGGCTACACCAACTAATGGCTTATTTCTGGAATTAGACTGTCTTTTATTTTTTTTCTTAATAAGACATGTTTCTTTTAGATTGATTTTAGAGAGAAAGAGGAAGGGGGAGAGAGAAAACTATCGTTTTTTTTTGGTCCACTTATCTGTGCAGTCATTGGTTGATTCTTGTATGTGTCCTGCCCAGGGATTGAACCTGTAACCTTGGTGTATCAGGATGATGCTGTAACCCCCTGAGCTACCCAGCCAGGGCTAGACTCTGTCTTGAGCACAGCATCCAGGAGATTGTACTTTGGGGTGTTTCTACCCCCAGTGTGCCCCTTCCCCTAATTCCTGCCCCCTAAGATCTGCTCTGGGGTTGGTTCCTGAGCCTGCTTCTACTCTGGGGTTGCCAACTGTCCTGACCCTGTACCAGCCCCTCTGTCCACACCCTCTCAGGTGTCACTTCTTCCCACAGACAAGCAAGTGGCTTCCCTCTGGGCTGGCTCAGCTGAGCTACAACATTCCTCAGAATTACCTGTGGTTAGATTGACCACAGGAGTCATCCATTTCTGCGCCCTGCAGGTAGAAGTGAAAGTGAGCCGTCAGCCCTGGCCGGTGTGGCTCACTGGTTGAGCTGTCCCGTGCACCAAAAGGTTGCTAGTTCAATTCCCAGTCAGGGCACACACCTGGGTTGCAGGCTCGATCCCTGGTAGGGGGTGTGCAGGAGGCAGCCGATTGATGTTTCTCTCTCCCATCAATGTTTCTCTCTGTCTCTCTCCCCCTCCCTATCTCTCTCTAGAAATCAATAAAAATATTTTAAAAAGAAAAGAGAGCAGTCAGTTTGCACACTCCAGAGGCCCCGCAAGGTGCCTGGTTTGGCCACTGTCCCACCCAGTGTTGGGACCCATCATCCCTCTGTCGCCGAGCCAGGGTGGGGCTCCAGGCCACAGCATCATGCGTTTCTGTCCCTCTGCCACCTTGCAGAGTCCCAGTGAAGGGCTGGTCATCCAGATGGCTGCATCCTGTGGGTAGAGGTTTTGTCCAGGGTCTCCACTCCGCTTCCTGGCCACCTGGCTGCCTAGGGACACAGGCAGTGCTGAGGAGGGCCATCCCCCTCCATCCATCATCCACCATAGAAGGCTGAGCTCTGGTGCCCATCCCATAGACAGTGCCCCTTTTTGGGCCCATGGCCTGACTCTGGCACATGATGGGGACTATGTGAATGTGTGCTGGGGGGCCCAGTGTCCAGCATCTCCCAGAGTGACTTCCTGCCAGCCTAGCCCTGGGGTGGGAATATGAGGCTCTTGCAAGAACAGGGTGTTTGCAGCATCACCCCCCCCCCCCCGGCCCTGGGCTGTACCACCACAGTACACTACGCCTCGGTCAGGACAGGCTGGGCTGGGCGCTGATGACGGCTCGGGGGGCATCACGGTAACGTGTCACCCCTTCACGCGAGCATGGGGGAGGCTGTGCCCCACACACTCGTTTAGGGATCCAGGCTATGGTGGGTCTGTGTGGCCATCGTTGTCCACCAGCAGTGTAAGAGGGGACGCCCGTGGTGCTTTGGCTCTGACGTGACACATGGCAGGGCAGCCACAGGACCCCCCAAAGTGTCATTGCCAGCAGCGATGTACCTTGGACAGCGTGTGAGAGGACTAAGTGTAGACAGGACTCCACACACACCAGCTGTTTCTCTTTCTCATTTTAGTTTTTTGTTTTGAGAGAGAGAGAGAGAAGCATCGGCGTGAGAGAGAAACGTCAATCGGTTGCTTCCTGTACACGCCCAGCCAGGGAATGAACCCACAACCTGGGCATGTGCCCTGACTGGGAATCAAACTACCACCTTTGGTGCCCCGGCCTGCGCTCCAACCAGCCGTCACACCGGCTGGACGCCGGCTGTCTGTCTTACGTTTATAGCTCTCGGGGCTCATACAGAAGCCGTTTTCTGGTCCATCAGAGGTCACACGAGGCCTCGAGTCTCAGGTTCATCCGGGTCAACGTAATTACAAGCGCCCTGCGCTGGGCCCTGTAAGAGACACGACAACCCCTGCTTCAGGCAGAGTCTCTGCTTCCAAGCTTCGCAACCTGATCTGCGTGGCTTCTGCTGAGGTGCCCTGCTGGGTGGCGGAT